TATATATATATAAGTAATTAAAAATATCTTTCTAAATACTACAGACTGTACAAACACAGCTATTACATATAAATACCCGTGCCCGATTTCCTTTTAACCCATGTAGACCATAAAGGAAAAGAAAGCAAGAGCACACCTACAACAAACAGATATGAAAACAAAACAGTCCACAATTATATAAATCTGGTATTTCTTTTACTTGAAGTTCAACCTAAAGGTTTTTTCAATTTGAAAAAGAAATACATGGTTATGCAAGCTTTATTTATTTTGAAAAAATTAATTTTTTAAATTTTGAAACCATATGCAACTGAAAAGTACAATTACTAAGGAGGCTGGAGACAGCACTTCAGCAGATGGGAGCAGAAGTGAGACCAAGGTTAGCAAAAAAGTTATTATTTCGCGCATGGAGTACCTTTTATCTTGAATTTCTAATCATGTTAACAGATATTAGGCTTACCTATGAAAAAACTGACGTAATCCTTCTTCATCTTATCCAAACCAATCTCCAAGAGCATTTGAATTGGAGTGATGCCACTGAGGGAAACGACCTCTATCTTTCCATGATAAGACTGCTGAACAAATTTACTTAGCAAACTGCTACTCCCTTGATGAATCTAAAAATTAGAAAAGTTTTCTTGTGATGCAACTGTGTACAAAACATCATAAACATTGTTTAGAAGTACAATAGCATGGAAACAGAGGCAAACTGTGACATGTGAAAGTAACTGAAAAACAATACAGAAAGGAGGAGCAGTTAAGCAACAAGAACTATATTCTACTTCAAACAACTCAAAATTATAAAATTTATTGTGAAATACAAATACGTACCCATGGCTGTATCTCACCACGTTCCAAGGACTTTATGATCAGTGTGAAACACTCTATCAACTCCTGATAGGAACTGACACCTTAGGAAAAAAAGATGCAATATTTTATTTATCAATCCCGGCTCACTCTCCAGCTGTTAAGTCAATAACAATAGGCCAACACATACGTGCAGGAACGAAACGCCTCATTTAAAGAACGACAGCTGAAATGACAGATTGCACTGCTTTTTGTTAAGTTTGTCATATCATGACTTTAAAAAGGGTTACTCTAAAGAAATGACGATTAGAAGAGACCACTGAACTGCATACGACTGTTAGAAAACAGCACAAGGCAGAAGCAAATCATCACATAACACATTTTGGCTACATTCTCTCTACACACATTGCAGCTGAACACGTTTTATACATTTAACTGAACAGCATCTACCTAGAATATGAACTATTAGTATCTATGACTCCAACTAACTGCTTCCTAAGCAAGAAACAAGCCTCCACACATTGTGCAGCTGACGCTGCCCTTAAGCGGGATACACTGCAGTCGTCACAGTACATTTTAGCTATCTAGTTTCGATTCAAACAACAGTGGTTGCATGAATAGGAATGAAAGGGGTTTAGAAGTTACATACTCCATCCCTCAAACAGAAAGGAGTTGTTGTATCTCTGGAACAGTTCAACAAGTTAATTAGTAATCTGAAAAAAATAGTAATATGTAAATAAAACTGCATTTTATTGAAGGACTGAGAGTGGTATTACAAGAATGACAGTTTGTATGCAGCTTTATCAACTTAAAAATTGTCCTTCAGATCTAGAAAGACAAAAATTTTATAGATGAAGTTTTCAGTTTTAGAGCAGATGAGTACTACCGATTGTTCAGTACCTTTTATAATCAAATAAAATGAAATATACTATCTCCTGCTAGATGTTGGTCTACCTTTATATGTTGTAAAACAGTATTATCATACCTAAAATTAGCTCTTTTAGAAAAACCCTGTTGCTAACAATTTTCTGAAGAGCTTATCAGTCCTTAAAACTCAGAGAATTTTGTATTCATTTCACTCAGAAAGCAAGACAGTATAGTAGATACAGAGAACAGAATTAAAAGGAAAACAGATGGGGTAAAATACCACAATACACTTACTTCTCATTTTGCACCATAATTGTTCAGCAAAATCCAGGTCTCCTCGCTCACTGAAGATTGATTTTATTGAACTGTCCACTGCAGCAGTGTCACATTTGATTTTCTGAAAGAGTTTGTTTGTCTTAAGTAAAAAAGTATGCCTAAGATTCAAAGACCTTATGAATTTGAAAAGTCTCCAGAGATCAAAATTGGTTGTGTCGCTAATCTTTCCCCTTTTCCAGGGAAACTACTGCACAGAAACTACTACTGCACAGTAATTTGGAAGCATACTTTTATTTAAAAGTGAGACTAATTCTTTTCAGAATTATCACACTGGATAATTGCTAGCTTTGGAGTGGGAAGTGAAGCCTACTATCAAAAGAAGGACTTTTTAGCTGAGTAAAGCTCAACCAGACTGTCTAGTAAGGACCAGCTGCTCAGCTCAAGATGGTCCTTTTCGCCTTCCAACGGCACAATGCACGGAGCATTGGTAAATAGCAAAACAGAGTCCAGCAAGCACTGACTCAGAATATGACCTATGCTACACTGAACTCACAATTAAGTAACTGTATGTAGACCTAGCAGTGCCCTGAGAGGCCAAAATTAATACATATGTGTATGCTCAGAGCAATTTTCCTGTTCTGATCCTGAATATTCCTGGTTTAGCTAATACAGAAATCATTGTATTTTCAGCTCATGAACAAAATGCAACCTCTCTCTCAATAGGAAAAAGACCCAAACCTTTCCTTGTAGACTGAAAGGGAAAAAAAACCTCAATATAACTGAAGGCTTTTTTATAATTTGAATTTGTCCATTGCTTTAGAATATCATAAACCTCTAGATAAATAGGACAGATATCCAACTGAAACCATTAAATTGGTCCGAAATCATTACATTAGGCAAGAAAAGCAAATTAGTGATAGAACACAATGGCACAAAGGTCAAAGTTCCTGAAAGAAAATAGGACATCAGGAGACTGGTAGCTTCAGGAGATGAGAGACGATGGTTAAAACAATGGAGTGAGATTGCAGTTGTTCAGTTTGCAAGCTTTTGGTAGTGAAAAAGGAAAGGAAAGAAGCAAATCAAAATATCTTCATGCCACTAAGTTATACAAAATATATGTATAATGGACACTGGTAGACCATTTAGAATAAAAAAAGAGAGTGAGGTTTTCTGAAGGTAAAAATTACAGTGGACTTTCTACTAGAGGATAGCTATGGAATTCCTAATTTTGCCTGTAAGGCCTTCTACCATTGTTTTTAGACAGCAGAAACAGAAAAATATCTATCTTTCATTACTTCTTTTTATCTACGTATTTACATACATACAAAAATAATATACAAGACAGTCAAAATCTGAAATAACTACAGTTATAAGGGAGACAAGATGACAAGGTAATTGGTAGGAAACTGCATATACCTCTGTTTCACCACTGTTTCCAGATATACAATATCCATCCAGTTTCCTCTTTAAATCTAGTAGAGGAGAAAAATAAATTTCACCACTATGAAAAAAGTATGATGAAACCAACTGTATAAATCCCTGGGCACATCAGAATTAACAAACGGACAAATTAACAAATTAACAGACTGACTGGATGGCTAATAAACAAAATTTATCTATTTTAAAATTGTTTCTACTGGGTAAGCATACAGTCTGAAAAAATCATGTTAGTATTTTTTAGTATAAGCCATACATTTTCCCCATATACCCTTACTACATTCTGTTAACTGAGCATTAACTTGTTAAGATTCAGTGATGAAGCAGTAAGGGGTAGCAGGTGATCTAGTGTCTCTGGTTTTTTTCCACATGCATTTGTCAGAGAGAGTTTTTGTCCGTTCCTCCAAGGTTTATCTACATACTAAAAGAATTTACAGTTACATTTGAAAATCTCTTGGTGCATTCCAACATCTGATTCTCTTTTTAGATTTGTTTTCTAATATCTTAAACTTCTGACAAGACACACATTGTTCACAACAGTTTTCAGAAGGAATCAGTAATTTTGGATGCTTTTTAAGATGTCATCAAAGTATTGTTTTCCATCACCAAAGGGACACTTAGCAGGTTTAGAAGTTCATGTCCATGTCAGAAAACTTGAAAGATGCATCCAGAACTCTCTCAATTGCTTTTTAAACATAACTGTGTCATTTTATAAAGCAACAATTGTTATTTTCATACAAGATATTATGACAAAGAAAAATGACAGAGATGTACTAACCTATTTAACTACTTCATACAGGTGGTTATAGCACAGAAATTAACATCTTTAATTGTAATACTTTAAAAATTGTATGTGGAATTTCCTTTTACTTCTGTGAAACACAACATCCCTCTCTCCCCATGTAACAAGCAGCAATTACCAGTCAGAAATTCCTGGACCAGTTCAACAGCTGATTCAGACTCTAAGGGCTCGGGCCACTCCGTCACACCCGTCTTCAAACCTTCAGCCAAAGCCTAAAGGCAGCATAAAAACCAAAACAACACAATCAGTTCTTGTTTGAGGTTCTGCATACGTCATACTTAAAACTGTAGTTAACTTCTCCAAGAATCACACACGTTTCTCTGTACAGCTAACCATGAATTTAGAAATGTCTTGAATTTCCTGGCTTTCGTGTTCATGATTTGTCCTCTTTGTATTCAAGGTTCCTAAAACTGAACTCAAAGTTTATTCTCAACTAAAAGTTTTAAGTCACTTTTGAAACACTTTATGAAGTTTTAAATAAAGTAAATTATTAAGACATAAAATCACCATTCCGTGTAAATCTGAAATTGGAATTTCTCACTCATACTTACAAGGAGAAACTGCAGTTCTCTATACAGCTGATATACAGGGCTTCTGGGGTCCCCAGACTCCAGCGTAATATTCTGAAAGTTCCAGAAGTTTACGTCAGTTTCAAACTTTAGAAATCAACTCTCCTAAAATTTTCATTAGTGAAATGCGTATTAGCATAATTTATAATTTAGATTATGAACGCATTGTGTTGCTTACATAAAGAATAATAAACACAAATGTCGAGTCAAACTTATTTCCTCTCCTTTACACTACTCATGATGTAAGCCGTGGAAAGAGTTTAGGTTGGTTTGCTTTTTCCTTCTTGACTTACCAGTGTGGCAGCTGAAATTAGCGGGGGCGTCTCCAGAATCTTATCTACACTGTTCCACGTAATATCAACGTATATATTGCTTTCAGATTCTACAATTGTGTCCTCTATTGCAGCAGCTCTAATAAGTTCATACTGAGCAAATCCTTTTGTCATCACCTAGAATGAACAGATTTAAAAAAAACCCAAACAACAAAACCACCACAACATTGATTGTTTTGTACTCATGCAAAACATTTTAAAAGCATTTCACACACACACAAACAGGTCTAACATCAGACAAATGCATTACAACATAGGGAGCTGAAACGGTACTTCAAAAGAGACTATTATACTATAGAATCACACTAAGATGAGACTCTAAATAGAATCTATAAAGCTTCCCAAAACCAGTATCGTAAATCAAAAACCAGAGTTTTTAAACTTAGATTGGAGTCATGACAGACCATAAACACCTACAATAGATGAATGATGTTTCATTTTATGGGCCATTTTGAGCTCTTCCAGGTTTGCAAAACAGGCTTTGTCAGCTGTAGGACCTAGGAAAGGAAAAAAGTAAGAATCAAAAGAACAATTCAAATTTGGCACTTAAAATTAATTCTCAAATGCTCCATTTGGTCAAGTACAACTTGTGTTGTTCTTCAGAAAGCAGGCATTCTTCCTTCATTTGTCCTACTGAGAATAAGGGCTGGTGTTGACATATAAATGTTTAGTAAGTGTCAGTGCTTGTGCAAGAAGTTGAATGGTAGCAATTTCAGTTGGCTAAGTTATTGGACCTGAGTGAAGGTAGGCGCGCAAGTTATTTCTCCCATACAGCATGGGTTAAAAGCATCTTTTCTTTTCTCTCTTGGTTTTTTTTCCCCTCTTGTTTTTTAAAACGAGGAATATAGAGCAGTACCAAGCCAACATCCCACAAAGGACAAAGATAGCACCCCTGCATCAATATTCCCACATTTTTAAGCCTTCCTCATTTAATTTTATGTGTAACCTTAAACCTTACCATTACATGTAACCATATAAAAATTGATTCCTGTGATTTTCTTTCCAGCTTTGAGAGGCTCAGCTCCAAGCCAGCAAGTATGTTCAGGATCACAACCGTCACACCTTATCCAGAGGGGAGGAAGCACAACCAGTTCATTTATCTTCAAGTGGGTCATGTTTGGATTTTGTACCATTGTATATAAGGAAATCAACTGCCTAGAGATATGAACAGGAGAAAAAAATAAGATGCCAACAAGTATAGCTGAATCTATCCCTTATGTAAAACTTAACTCCTATCTATCACGCTTCGTTAGCAGACATGAAATCGTTTTACAAAAAGAATGCAGTACTACAATCCTCTTTTTACAGGTAGAACAATGAAGTCACAAAGAAGGAAGTAAGATATCATAAATGAGAATATATTTAATATAGTGTTTTAATTTAGACTAAAGATTCTGAAACCATAATTGAATTTTACATTTTAAGCATGTTAAAAGGATAAGTTAGTTAAGCAAACTAGTCACCATGTTTTGGTACCATGCCTTGGTATTTTAATAACAGCCAAAGACCGCAAACAGATGCTTTAATTTTTTTTTTTCTTTTTAACAGAAGCCTTACAAAAACAAGCATTGAAGTCTAAGCTTTCTTTGCTCACCTACACCCAGACACTCCCATTAACCTAACAGGACAGCTCACAAGTGCTTTTCCAGTACCTTGACTTTAGCTACTTTGTTAGGAGTACTTTTAGCCAGGGGAGGCCATTTTGCAGGATGAAAAATGGTCATATCTCCTCACTAAACTAACAAGTAATTTAATGTGGGGGGATTGGAAAAAATACAGGTTCTGAATATTAGGAAGGGAGACAAAAGTTGCAAAAGAAAATTACATCAGAAGGGGAGGCAGACCTTTGACACTTACTTTGCTCTTCTGACAGAAAGAGCCACTGGTTCAGAACTCTCCTTTGGCAAAAGCTCAGAGGCATAAACAGCATCATCTGGTTTTGATTCTTCCGTTGGGTCACTTTCTTCATTGTGTCGCTTTGAGAGAAATGCACAGGTAAGTCAAAAAATGCAAGGTACGTAAAAATATTTGATGGGAATTCAAGTCTAGATTACATTTAAAAAATTAACAACTAAAATACGCACTTACTGCTTTCTGTAAAATATATATCATATTGTTTCCATTCCAAAATCTTTCAATGGGACTTTTGCAACTACCACCAATCAAACAGATCTCTACATCAGTCTGGAAAAAAAAAAAAAAAATTAAACTTTTTAACACCCTACATATAAATGCTGCATTTCAGCAATTTTTTATACCAGAAATTGCAAAATTAACTAATTGCACAAACTGTTTTCCAACCCTGTTGCAACCATTCATGAATCTAAGGCTTTCTTACTTCAGAACACAGTTACTGCATGCCAAAGGTGAAATCAAATCAACTGTGAAAAGGCAACAACTTTCAACTAACCCACACAGAAAATCTAATCTCTAAAAGCTTGATTCTATGAGAAACTGAAGTCTTGTTCAATGAACAAAACTTCAGATAATCTGAGATATGAGGGATCATTGTCAGGTAGTGACTGCAGTCACTGCATATCCTTGAGATGGAGAATACTCATTTAAAGTAACATTAAATATCAATAGATCACTTCTCTGAATGTCTCATGAGAGCTCTAAACACTGTTTGGAGAAGTTAAATAACTCAAGCCTGCTCTCAAGAACAAAGAAATATCACGCTTTACTTAGGCTTTTGCATACACGCAGAGAAGTATTGCTTGATTCTTCACATCTAGTCTGTTTTTCACATTGCTGTATCTTTAAATAACCACCTGATTTTATCTGCAAACTATTATCAAACTTGTATAAATCCCAAGTTTAAGACAACTAAATAGCGTTAGACATTCTCCAGCCATCCCTATGTTCCAAAAACCATTTGAAGCAATTGCCATTTTCATACACATACCCCATTCCCTACAAAAGTGCTTAGATAAAAAGCGTGCCATCAGAAGTTGCAAGTTTGAAGATGTGGATTACCTTCATGAAAATACTACCTCAGGGCAGCTGCTGCAGCAGCTCTTTCCTCTCCTCCCAGCAGCCACACACTGCACCAGCTGCCCTTTGCACTTCACACGACCTCCACCCCATAACTCGCACATGTACTTGGTCCTTACAATCATTTTAAACAAGTTAACAGTTAACAGTGCAAAAAATCGGGGGAACGCAGGAATGAACGAGGGCGGCACTCTGGGTACCCGGGTCTCCTGCTCCATCCTGAGGTGGAGGCAGATCTAAAGAGGTATTGCTGAGGTAAACATTTCTTTTTACGTGATATCCCCGCACATATCTCAGCTCTTGATCAATGGCTGCACGTTTTAAACATACAGAATCAGGTTACGTGGCTGTATTTACCTCAAAGACTACATATTTACCTCAAAGAGGTAGGGATGTTCAGGGATCCCTGCCGTTCCTTCTTCATATATTCTGAAAGAAAAAGAAAGCGTTAAGGTACATGAAGTTTTTTTTCTTTGACCTCTGTATTCCTCAATAAACAGCAAGTTTAACTGCACAAACTAAAACGACAGAGCTCTACAATCAGAGCCTCAGCAGCCTCCCCGCGAACTGGGGCCGCACTCGGCACCCC